TTCCCACTCCCCTTTCCCATTTCGTTCTCATTCTGGGGTTACACTGTTAATTTGCAGGAACTGGAGGGAAAGGGAGTGAATCCAGGGAGCAGACTCTGGAAAGTTTGCTATCGGTCTCTCTCAAAGATTTTGACATCGCTTGCTCCCTGATCAAAATAAATACAAGCAGAAATGTGCGCTCCAATACAAAACAACTTTATTCACTTGATCTCGTTTAGGTACATGCAAACTAATGAGTAACTCCATAAGTTTAAACAACTGTCGATCCAGTCAACCACTGAGTCTCACTGTCTTCTCTTCAAATTGGGGTCTCCTGGGTGTTGTCTGGTGCTTGTAGCTCTATTTCTGTTTCCATGATCTGATCTCCTTAAACCCCAGTCCAACAGTGAAAGTCTCTCGAGCTAGTAAAAGTCCCCAGTGTTAATACTATTCTCAATCAGATATTATGTGCTGTATTTCAGCCTCTGAGCACTTTTCCCACCCATTCTTTGTGTGCACAAACATGTCAAGGTGACTGTGCCTTTGCACAGCAGTCTGTTCCCAAGACCAGCCAAGGTCATTGCAGTTGACTTCCAGCCAGAACAGGTTGTGTTTAACCGAAGCCTGTTTTTCACATATTCCCTATCAACCGCTTATTGCCATGTCCAACTAACCCTTCACAAGCAGGTGTGGCGATATTTTGCTCCCGCTGTTGACACATTGACACAAGGTTCCATCGCGTGGAATCCAGGGACAGCTGGCCAATGGGATATGAAATTGGATTGACAATAGGAGTCGGAGAGTGGTGGTAGAAGATTGGCATTCAGACTGGAGGCCTGTGACCAGCGGTGTGTCGCAAGGATCACTTATAGAATCACTGGTATTCATCAGTTACGTAAATAATTTAGATGAGATGATAAACAGGCCTGGTTAGTCGGTTTGCAGATGACAACAAAATTGCTGGTAAAGTTTAAGGTGAAGAAGGCTGTCTAAGAGTACAACGGATCTTGATCAGCTCAGCCGAGGAATGGCAGATAGGGTTTAATTTAGATAAATGCAAGGTTTTGCATTTTGCTGAGACAAACCAAGGCAGGACTTGCACAGGTAGAGAGTGTTGTCAAACTGAGAGCATAGGGGTACAGATACATAGTTCCTTGAAAATGACATTGAAGGCAGACAAGGTGGTGAAGAAGGTGTTTGGTACGCTTGCCCTCATCGGTCAGAGTGTTGAGTATCGGGATTGGGACGTCATGTTACGGCAGGACACAACATTGTTAAGGCTGCATTTGTGGTCCTGTGTACAATTCTGGTCGCACTGCTATAGGAAGGCTGTTATTAAACGGCAAAGTGTGCAATAAAGATTTACAAGGATATTACTGAGGGTGGAGGTTTTGAGTTATAAGAAGAGGCTGGACAGACTGGGTGGCCCGAAAGACATTTATAAAATCATGAGGGCCATCGATAAGGTGAAACCAAGATCTTTTCCCCAGGGAACGGTAGTCCAAAACCAGAGGCTACAGGATTAATGAGAAAGGGGAAAGATTTAAAAGGGGCCTAAGGGACACATTTTTCACACAAGAGCATGGTCCATATATGGAACAAGCTGCCAGAGGAAGTGGTAGAGGTGGGTCCAATTACAACATTTAAAAGACATTTGGACAGGCACGCAGATTTGAAAGGTTTAGAGAGATATGGGCCAAAAGCTGGCAGATGGGACTAGTTCAGCTCATTCATCATTTTTGCTTATTTACTCAGTATCGGAAGGGTATTTCCCCTTGTAAGGCACTTTAGAATGAGAGGTCGTAGGATGAGGGATAGTAGATTTCAAACAGAGATGTGAAGAAGTAACTTTCCTCAAAAGGTCATTAATCTGTGAGATTCAATACCCCAGAGTGCTGTGGATGACAGGACATGGAGTAAATTTAAGGAGGAGATAGACAGATTTTTAATTAGTAATGGGTTGAAGGGTTATGGAGGGTAGACAGGAAAGTGGAGTTCAGGCCGAGATGCGATCAGCCTTGATGGTAGTAAATGGCGGAGCAGGCCTGAGGGACTGAATGGTGTACTCCTGCTCCGAGATGTCATGTGTTGATTTTAGATCTACCCGCAGTGGTAGGCAAACTCTATTTCCTAACCAGGATAAAATAAATGTTGTTCGTCAGCTGCTGCGGATCTTTTCAGAGGAAATGTGCAGTTCTAGGCTGAAACAGCGTCAGCCCCACTGCAATAAAAAAGCCCACTATCCCTCCCACTTCACCCACTGTCCAAATGAACATGGCTCAGTCTTGGATGCGATTCTCAGCAGCAATGAACAGCAGCGTCCAACTGCTGTCTTCGCTGATGAACTTTCTGGTGCCTCCGCAGCTTGTATCTCTGGATAAATCCCTTCCCACACACAGAGCAGATGAATGGCTTCTCCCCGGTGTGAATTCGCTGGTGTCTCAGCAGAGTCGGTGAGTCCCTGAACGCTTTCCCACAAATGGTGCAGGGGAATGGTCGCTCCCCGGTGTGCATGCGCTGGTGGGTCAACAGTGGGCCCGACTGAGTGAAGCCCTTTCCACACTCAGAGCAGGTGAAACGCCTCTCCCCGGTGTGAAGTTGCTGGTGAGTTCTGAGGTCACCGGCATGAGCGAATCCCTTTCCACACTCAGAACAGGTGAAAGGCTTCTCCCCGGTGTGGACCCGTTGGTGTCTCCGCATCCCGGATGGATCGCTGAATGTTTCTCCACACTCAGAGCAGGTGAATGGCCTCTCCCCAGTGTGAACCCGCTGGTGTGCCAGCAGTCTGGATAACGAACTACATCCCTTCCCGCATTCCGAGCAGGTGAACGGCCATTCCCCGGTGTGAGTTCTCTCGTGTTTTTGAAGGCTGTACAACTGACAGAATGTCTTTTCACATGCGAAGCAGGTGAATGGCTTCTCCCCGGTGTGAACTCGCTGGTGTGACAGTAGGGAAGAGGAGCGAGCGAAGCCCTTCCCGCACTCAGAACAGGTGAACGGCCTATCCCCGGTGTGAATTCGCTCATGTTTTCGAAGGGCAGATAACAAGCTGAATCCCTTCCCACACCTGAAGCAGATGAATGGCCTTTCCCCGGTGTGAACTTGCTTGTGGGCCACCAGCAAAGCAGCCTGATCAAATCCCTTCCCGCACTCCGAGCAAGTGAATGGCTTCTCTCCAGTGTGTATTCGCTGGTGTGTCAGTAGGGCAGAGAAATTTTCGAAACCCTTCCCACAATTGGAGCAGATGAACGGCCTCTCCCCGGTGTGAATTTTGTCGTGTTGTTGAAGGTTGCATAACTGCCTGAATCCCTTCCCACACCTGAAGCAAGTGAACGGCCTCTCCCTGGTGTGAACTTGCTGGTGTCTCAGTAGGGAATAGGAGTCAGGGAAATCCTTCCCACAGTCTGAGCAGGTGAACGGCGTCTCCCCGGTGTGAACACGCCGATGACTCTCCAGCCCAGATGGGAACTTGAATCGTTTCCCACAGTCCCCACACAGCCATGGCTTCTCCTCGGTGTTGTTGTCCTTGTGCCCCTCCAGGTTGGATGATGAACTGAAGTCCCCACACACAGAAACCCTTGATGGTGTCTCCTGGAGGGATGTTATTTCAAGGTACAGCAGCAGCAGCAATGACCATCCTCAGAATGGGGCAACTTCCGCATTCATACAACGGGGGAGCTCTGATTGGCTGGAGGACCAGAATGCTTCCGGTCTTCCAGCGCTGTCTATTGGCCAGGCCGCATTTCGTGCAGTACAGAGCCAGCCAATAGGAGCTGCGCCTGTTGCAGACAAAGGGCCCGCGCTGGCCTCGCGCTGAGGTTGCTGGGGGAGGGGAGGACACTTTGCAACAAATCCCTTCCCTTCACTTTCCTCCAAGGCATCCGTTCAAACAAAGCACAGGGTTTAATTTTAACTTCACACTCACTGAAACTTCCTCCTCTGTCCAACATCTGTGAGCACAACACTCTCTGTTCCCACTCCCCTTTCCCATTTCGTTCTCATTCTGGGGTTACACTGTTAATTTGCAGGAACTGGAGGGAAAGGGAGT